CAAAAACTCGCTCGAGCATAGCATGTGAAAAAATGTGAGTTAGCCCAATAGAAAGAGCTCTAACACGTGACACACATATATATACAAACTGATCAACTCCTAAACCTCTGTGCCTGAATTGTTTTGTTCACAGTGGAAGAAATGAACTAACTCAGAGAGAGAACCATCTTTGTATACGACGATATTGAACGTCTGCGTAACGAAAAAAGATAAACTAGACCCATGTGAATTGATTGAGATGAATCGAGGATCGATGATCTGAACTGCGTATTTCGGTATTTCCTCTCTCTTTTTTTTTTTTTTTCTTTTCTTCCTATAATAGTTACTCTAAGCAACTGCCGCGATACAAGTGTGAGCATGCAGCCATTCACTTGTACTACGCGCTGTATATATGGTTCATGCTTTCAGCATATATATATATATATATATATATATATATATATATATATATATATATATATACATAACAAATTTACTCGACCAATTAATATGACTTTGGAACTTCCATGGCTCTTTCAATCTCCAAATATATGGCCATTTTTTTAATAACAACATTATATTGGGAGCTTTATTTAGAAAATTCTTATATGGGATTTATATTTTCACAAAAAGAAAATAATAATTAAAAAAAAAAAAAAGTCACATGACACAACAATTTGGAGGGTTGATCTGTGATGCGCCCCCGCGGTAATTTGCATATATTTCGTTTTTGTTCAAAAGGAAAAAGAAAAGAAAAGAAGCACTAAGAAAAGCGTTGGTCAAATAAATTCCTAGCTAGCTAACAAACCTTACTTATAGTACTAATACCACGATCGATCTCCTGATCGATACTCATCGTGCCGTAATCAGTGGCGGATTTTTTTGGTTTTAATTCCTTTCTTTCAAATTATCTATCATAGACAAAGGTACAATTTCCTCCTGGATAGTGGATATATATATATATATAAATTGCCAGTCATATAACACACAATGCCTCGTGTGACGTTTCTCTCATGCATAAACATTTAGCCTCAGAGAATCTCCCCGGCCGGCCTATATAAACACCCCATCAGCTCCTTTTTGATTAACAATTACATCCACGTATATAAACTTCTCTCTCTCTAGATCTCTCTCTCTCTCTCTCTCTCTCTCAAGAAAACTTAATATATCGATCAACACAAAGACGATGACGATGGTTTTACCAGTTGTTCACAATCTACCCCAAATCAAAACATGCAAGCCCACACCAATTAACACTTTCACTGGGATTCCAGTCGTTGACCTTTCTGATCACACCCACGCTAGTAAAAACACTATAGTCAACGCCTGCAAAGAGTTCGGGTTCTTCAAAGTGATCAACCATGGTATTTCCATGAATTTCTTGACAAAATTAGAACAAGAAATTGTCAACTTCTTCAAACTACCCCAACAAGAAAAGGACAAATGGGGCTCTCCTAATCCTTTCGGTTACGGTAACAAGAATATCGGCCTCAACGGTGATGTCGGATGGCTTGAATATCTCCTCTTCTCCACCAACCCTCAACTTCTTTCACTGAATTCAAAGTCAATCATCCCAGGAGGAATTCAAGAATCTTTATGGTACGGTTCGAATAATTTAGTAGTTATAAACATGCATCTCGTTACTTTATTAGTTTTATATTCATAATTAACATTGATATTTATGTATATATATATATTTTTACGTACAGGATTCTTGTGAATGAGTACGTAACCGCGGTGAGAAACATGGCGTGCGAAGTTCTTGAAATGATAGCTGATGAATTGCACCTTGAGGCAAGGGACAAATTGAGTAAGCTGATAAGAGATGAAAAAAGTGACTCTTGTTTTAGGCTAAACAACTATCCGCCATGTCCGGATCAGCTTCAAGAAACGGGTAATGGTCGGAGTGTGATAGGTTTTGGCGAACACACGGACCCACAGATTATGTCTGTTTTAAGGTCTAACGAAGTATCGGGCTTTCAAATTTGTCTGAAAGACGGTGCATGGGTCTCAATACCACCCGATCCCACATCGTTTTTCCTCAACGTTGGTGATTCTTTGCAGGTATGTATGCATCATGTAAAAGTGTTAAATCTTATTTAATAATACATCTCCTTTGCCTTGTACTTCCTGTAATAGAATCATCGATCAGTATCGATATATGTAATGGTTCGTTGTTAATTACATAGATTTGTATGCTGGTGCAGGTAATGACAAATGGGAGGTTCAAGAGTGTGAAGCACAGAGTGTTGGCCGCGGATAATTTGAAATCGAGGGTTTCGATGATCTACTTTGGAGGGCCGCCTTTGAGTGAAAAGATAACGCCGTTGAGTTCAATAATGGAAGAAGGTGAAGAAAGTTTGTACAAGGAATATACATGGTCTGACTACAAGAACTCTGCTTACAAGACCAAGTTGAGTGATAATAGGTTGGAGAATTTTCTCAAGTAGAATGTAATAAAATGGTCATCATATCCTTGGAAACTACTATTAATCCTGAAATTTTCAGTTTACGACAGTAATTTATCAGCTTTTAAAACAGTTTATTAGTTTATCGAGCAGTTATTTATAATAAATTTAATCTAAAACTATAATTTTGAATACGATAAACTAAACTTCGTTAACATTTTCAAATTTCATAAAGATGACGATTTTTCATTCAAATCATTCGTTATTTTATGTTTCCTTTGAAAAATTTAAACGAATAAAATGTGAGAAAAAAAATCTCTTGTTAATTAATTTCCCAGTATTAAAAGAGTCGCTGAAACTTAGATGCGACTTTAGAAGCAACAGAAGCAAAATCGTAATACTGTAACGGACAAACCAATCTCACACACTTTTGACTACACCCCCAACCCCAACCCCCGGCCCCTAACCAGTGAAGAAGATCTCGATGGGGGCGTTGACGACGGCGTTGATAGCGATCGTGGCGGTGGCGCTGGGCTGGTGTACGATGGAGATCGCCTGCAAACCCTGCCTCCAGAAAGGCCGAGAAGCCATAGATCGAAGCCTCAACCCTGATTACGACCCCGATGATCAAACCACTCTTCACGCCCCTCTCAACATTCCCATTGAAAACCACGGTGGCGACGCCGCTTCCACCGCCGTCAAGTCCGTCTGATCTTTTTAACCGCTGTTAGTTTTCTGTCTTCTCGTGATGTGATACCTCCTTTTGCAGTTGGCTTTATTGTTGTTGTTGTTGTTTATAATTGGGATATTTTCGTTGAGTATATTTCGCATTGTATTTAATTGATGGGTATAAATATTTCAATTTTGCCCAATAATTTGTGATTTTGTTTACTGGATTGATAAATAAGAATTTTGATGCTCTGTTTGATAGTCTTTTCAGCTTCTTCAATGCTTATGTTAATCAGCTAATGGTCCTTCATTTTCATCAATCATGAAATTCCAGTGATAATAAAATTGTTAACAATTAGGGATGTGATTAAGATGGCCTAATCTCTAAATAACTTCCTTGATGATGCTTAGTGTGCATAAATGCAGGGAGATAATAATACTTGTGGCTTTAAAGCTCGAAATTAAACCTTTTGAAAGTGTTCAATAGCCTATGCTTAGAACATATATATAGGAGGAAACATAATCTGCTTCTGTTATTCATACTTTCACAGAAGTTCGAAAATATGGCTGTTAAGTTAGAGTAGTTAGTTCTCTCCCCGAAGGGATAAATAAATATGGAAAACAAAAGTAATCTCGATTTCTTTTCCTGCCAACAAAGGTAAATATGGTATCTAATGTAATCACACCAGCCCCGAGACTATTAATATCTTATGTGCATTATGTTATTTGGTTTTGCTCTGATACTACGTTGAATGATCACTTGAAAAATAAAGCTTAAGCTGTTAGACATCGTCTCGGAGTATTCGTGGAACGGATAAGACTGATTAGATAATAAGAGATGGGGCCTTTGCATAAAAAACATGTCATCTTAGAAAGAAAAAAAAAAAGAGATTTTGGCTTAAGACATCTCTTCCACTAGTGACATTCTCAAAAATTGTTATCAAATGTCTTTAGTAAGTGCATTTTGTCGTCACTAATTCCCTTTTTATCGTCACTATATTGAATTATGTATTGACACATCTGTAGTTCGTTGAAACAGAGGATTACTCCCCTAAGTGTGTCATAATAGATATGGTCACTTAAACTAGTGCATTATGTATTTAAACGAGAATCCTATTTTCACGTGAAGGCAGAGTAAACACTTATCGATGAACTTCACCGAGTGTAATATCTTAAAGGCCATACAAAGTGCTATGACATATGCATAACCATTCCTGGTTTTCATCTCCTCAACTTGCTTATCTTATCATGGTAATCTCTTAAAGAAAGAAATATTATTATTATTATTATTTTTTTTTAATTTATAAATTCTTCCTTTTTGACTCGTCTTACGTTGCAAAGGGGCTTTCCACCGTGAATTAGGGTCCACCCTTTTTCTTCCCAATTCCAATCCATCTAAAGCTATCTAAGAATATAATCCTTGTAAAGAAACATGTCTTTCAGACAAACACACACACACACACGCACAAACACACACACACACACACACAAAATAGCAATGCTGTGAGTTAGCACGTACCTCCAACATTTCATGCATGTATCAGTGGGAAATATCCCCCTTGACTGATCATGCATGCATGCTTTAAATCTTCCTTTTACATCAAATGGCTTTACTAAAGCAGTATCTTATCACCATTCCTATATCTCTTTTTTGATCAATTCTATCTCACTCATCCATTTACAATTCTTTTTTTCTTTTCTTTCTAAAGAAAGTGAAACTATAAAGAAAAGACGAGGAAGGAAACCATTTAATTTCCCCGGAAAATGATCGAAGAAACGGCATTATCAACAACAACAAAAAAAAAAAAAAGTTTATAGTTTGATATTATAAAGAAAAGCATGTTTGGTTGTTAAAAGTAGAAAATATTCAACCCTAAAAGGAGACAGCCAGGTCGGTATGCATCTTGATGATCACATTGCTCGTCAATTTTTTTTTTCTTTTCGAAAAGGCCCTCCTTTTATATGACGTACGAAAGCATTCCCTTTTTATCCCTTTGCTACTCTCTACCCACATGCATGGTTTCGGGCTAAGCAATTGTCAGAGATTGGTGCATATATACGATTACTTATTGTTGGAGATATTAATATTAAATGATACATTTCAGTATTAGCTTAATTAAGCTTATGATTGGCTTAAACTTTTGACTGATATGATCATTCGACACTTACATGTATATATATTGCAAAAGACATATACATCCTTCGATCCAGATGTTTTAAAACAATATGATCAAATTTGCGAAGCAAAATATAACAGAAGTTAGTTGGATGGAAAAAAGAAAAGAAGTTGGATGGGAAAAAGAGAATGTCTCACTCTTGAGGGATGTATGGATAAATATATGTTCTTGACATGTGACGGATCTTAGAAGTGAAGATTGAATCTGTCTAAATTAAATCAATTCATTATATTATATTTAGCAAAAGTGGGATTCATAATATTGATGAGTAGGACTGTGGAATCGTCAAAAATCATTGCTCTAATGATCATAATTAATTATACATGTACTGCAATTAATTGGTTCTTAGGAGTTAAGCAAAAGATTCTTCCAGAGTTACACTCATTTAATTTCATCAAGCCTTTTCCGCACCTGCCACTTACTATTAATTAGGTGTATAATTTTTTTTTAATTTTTTTTTTGTTTGATTAGTGTTAATTAATAATAAATAGAGATTGGTGGTATATTGATGAAAATTGACATCAGCAACAGAAAGCAAATAGGAATTCAAAGATAAGGACACTTATTCCTACGTATTCACATTCCTTATCCATCTACCCAACACTTCCACTTTTTTTCCTTTTGGCCCAATATTACGTGTAATTCTACCTTTTTTATTTCCCCACCAAGAATGTTAAAAATTAAATAAAATATTTATTTATATATAAATATACATATATATTTCTTTTTGGTCTCCTTTCGTCAAAAAAACATTAGTACTAAACGACCAAAATCACCCCCATTAATATTGTTTTATCCCTCCTTTTAATCCCACCAACTCATTCTTAGATAGTTTTTTCTACCCTTTCGGGCGGGAAAAACAAAGAAAAAACTATATTATAATTTAATAATTAATAAAATGATTATCATAACCAGCAGGACTTTTTTGACATCATCATGTACGTTTAATTAATTAATTAATTAATATATGATATTATCACTATATAGATAATACAATTAAGAAATAAAAACACATGTAAAGCACTAGTCGATCTTAAGCAATATATATAAATTGAATTGTATACAAAATTATCCAACAAATAAAAATGTGTGATTTCACAAACAGCATGACGTGGATATCACTATAGTGCTTAAAGCTGACTCTTGAATTTCACTTTTCTATTTTATTTTTAATTTTATTTTTTTAACTTTTGCGTCTCCACCCAAATTAGTATAAAAAGTTCTTAAACATGCAATCAACTCCATGTGATTTCTTGAGATACCTTTAGCATTTAGATTTATGTTAAAATGTTTTAATTCAATTTTTTTAATGTTAATTACTCAATTGAGGAAATTAATTAATAAGCTGTTGCGTCAACAACTAGAAATCGAGAACACAAAAAAACCCTAAAAGAATCATTCTTCATATATATATATATAAATACACAAGATAAAATATAAAAATAAACCTTTTTGTTTACTAGATTATTATCTAAGAAATGTAAAGAGCAGATGATTGCAATTTGCAACAAATAATCTTATATATATATATGGTCACAGTAATTAAATGACAAATAGTATATATTCAAAAAAAAAAAAAACGAGTGCGTAATCATTGCACACATGATATTAAAACAGAAAAATGATTCCAGAAAACCATAATTACGTAATTAATCTAAGAATTAGTGGGATTTCCTTCCCTCCTTTTCTTTTCTTAAATATAAAATGTGAAGAAATTAAAGTGCAGTACCACCACCCCCAACTCAACCACCCCATGTGGGGGTGGGGTAAGGGCATTATGGGTATATATAGATATATAGGTAGCCTCCTTAAAAAGAAAACTCAGGATCAGTTGTAATTAATTATAAAGAAGAAGCTAAGATGAGAAGAGCAAGTCATTCACCCAACTGAAAACCTATTTGCCTAATTAACTAGAAAACAAACAAGTAAAGAAAAGAATTCACAAAAATCACACCTATAAATCCCTCTTTCCCACATCCATTTCATTTCCCCTCTCCCTTCTTTCTAGCTTTCATTAGTGCATGCATCAACAAAACTCTCTCTCTCTCTAGAACTCTCTCTCTCATGGAACATCTTCTTACCAAGATTTTCATGTCACATATTCTTCTTGGATTCTTTCTAACTTTATCAGGTATTTATATATCTATCTACACATATATATATAATCTCCCTCTCTTTTCTTTTTTTTCATGAATGACGTCCTCATGTGGTATGTTTTTAATTCCGGGTTATTATTAATGTTAATTATTTGTTAAGCACAGGTTTTGGTTTTGTACGGGAAGTGGAATCGCTGGGCATTAACTACGGCCAAGTTGCCAACAATCTGCCGGCGCCGGAGAAAGTTCTAGAACTCCTCCGTTCACTTAAGGTGACGAAAGCCAGAATCTACGACACGAACCCTCAAGTTCTGTCGGCTTTCGCAAACTCCAACGTCGAAATCATCGTCACCGTCGAAAACGACATGCTCGCCACGTTAACGGACCCCAACCAGTCCCTCCAATGGGTTTCCACCCGCATCCGCCCCTTTTTCCCGGCTACCAGAATCACCGGTATCGCCGTCGGTAACGAGGTCTTCACCGGCGACGACAACACCCTCGTCACCTACCTCGTACCCGCCATGGTCAGCATCCACGCCGCCCTCGTACGCCTGGGGCTGGACCAGTACATCCACGTGTCCACCCCCAATTCCCTGGCCGTCCTCCAGGAATCTTTCCCGCCGTCCGCCGGAAGTTTCCGGCCGGAGCTGAACGTGATAATGCTCCAGTTCCTGCAGTTCTTGGCAGCCACCAGAGGCCCGTTCTGGATAAACGCGTACCCGTATTTCGCGTACAAGGACAGCCCGAATAAGATCCCAATAGACTACGTACTTTTCAACCCGAATTCGGGTATGGTCGACCCGAATACGAAGCTCCACTACGACAACATGCTGTACGCTCAAGTTGACGCGGTTATAATCGCCATGGCCAAAATGGGTTACGGAGGAATCGAGGTTCGGGTTTCGGAAACGGGTTGGCCCTCCAGAGGGGACGCTACTGAAATCGGGGCAAACCTTCAAAATGCGGCCATATATAATCATAATTTAATGAGAAGACAATATTTGAATGAAGGGACTCCATTGAGGCCGAGCATGAAGTTAGAGATTTACGTGTTTGCTTTGTTCAACGAGGATATGAAGCCGGGCCCCACTTCCGAGAGGAATTACGGGCTTTTTCAGCCCGACGGGACTATGGCCTACAATGTCGGGCTCACTGCATTGTCAACTACTTCTTCTTCTTCTTCTTCGTCAACTTCATCGGCCTCAATTTCCTTAACTTCCAATTCCACCAAGGTATGTATATATATATATATACATTAATTAATTAAATTAAATTGGAATATGTTCATAGTATTAACTTTTTTATTTTATTTTGTGTGACTTATTATCATGAAACAGGTTAAAGAAAGTGGATATTCAAGGTTACTGTGTTCAATATTCCTTTACTTGGTGGGGTTTCAAGTTTATATGAGAAGACATTGGTAAACAATTATATATATACGAGGAGATATATATATATATATATATATATATATATATATATATAGTACTAGTGCGTGTAAATATCTCATTTTGCAGGGAGGAATATATTTATTTGGGAAGCTAAGGTTAGATTGCAGCATTTCAGTTTATATATATATATATATATATATATATATATATATATATATATATATATATATATATATAGATGAAACTGAAGAGAATTATAGATTCAGATCACCTGATGATCGAGAAAGACACGTACACAAATGTTCAAGTAACGATGTAGAAAAATTGAAGACACCATTTGATCAATTTATTGATGCATATATATTCAAAGTTGATGAATCGCATTACTAGTCCAGCCAGCCGTGCACATTTCGACGTCGAATATAATATTAAATATTCCATGTTGATCATCTACCGTTAATTTGTCTCGGATATATATATGAACTACGAGAGTGCGGCCTTATCCGAAATATATTAATCTGCGGTTGATGATGGTGTACCTTGGCCATTCAACAAGATTCTTAATTCCACCAAACTATATTTATATTGAAACATCTTCTGTAAAATAGGTAGCTAGCTCACTACTTTATTACTAGCTAGAGAAATATAATGTAACGGATCTTTTTTATTCTTCTCCATCCCGTATTAATGTATATAAGATTTGCTTCTCATTATAAATCATATCCAGCTTTGCTTTTCCTTTTCTGCTTTTAGACTCACCAATTTATTTACATTATATATATATATATACACACACACACACACACGTACGAAAAGGAAACTTATAAGAGAGAATTGCAAATAAAGGTGTCCACTTTTGGACGTGGAATCCACCACAGTTCTTGCATATATATGTGTAAAAACCGTTGTGCGCAACGCTCTCTCTCCTCCATGCAAAATATATTCATAGTACACTAATGTATAGATAGACATAATTAATAAAGTTTAGTACAACAAATTCAAGATAATGTTAGGTTAATCACCAAATTAAAGGTTAAGCTTTGTTTTGTTCTTTCTTTTCTTTTTTATTTCTTTAATTTGCCCTTTTCTTTCTTTCCCCCGCACAATGGGCGGCTCATCGATCTTTATTCTCTGACCACAACCGTCACTGTTAATTGGCAGAGCCACCTTTTCTCTAACCACCTTAAACTCTCTTTCACACACACAGCACAATGGTGCATGCACATGATGCCCAATAATACTAATTACTAGGATTATAATTTATATATATATATATATATATATATATATATATATATATATATATATATATATATATATGCTTTTCCAATTAATTAGTATAATTAATCTTACGGACTAATATAATAAATCTTTTCGGACCAAAAACACCGAAAAAAACATGAATAATGCGTGCGTTGTTGTTGTAGCTCGGCGTTTAGGCAGCTTTTCTTCCACAAAGTAACATGGTATATATAATTAATGGAGGGTAGGAAACTCGAAAGGGGACCCTATTTATTAGTTTCCACGTATGTAAGCATGTGCAAAATGTACTTATAACAAGCAACACATGCAGCCCAAAGCTGGAAACTTAGTCCCATTAACATTTAACTTTTGTCTTTCTGGGATTTAATTTTTCATGTATTAATCTTATAATTCATTAGGAATAAAAAAAAAGGGCACTTGAGAATTTGGCCAAATTGCTTCACTAAATTCTGTGGACCCTTTGCAGCAAATTAAGTTGTTTGAATTAAAGGTAAAATCAGGTAAACCTTTAATCTGGCAGTTACAGACTACAACTGCCGGAGCCAATTAATTAAGAATCTTTTTATTTTATTTTATTTTATTTAATGGGTCTAATCAAATTAAAGCATGGATTTAATGTTTTAATGACCAGGTTCTCACAGTATCTAATTACCTCTTTAACAGCCTTTAATCCGCATGATTATGGGAAGATTCTCTGTTAAAATCGCATCATCTTTAATTTTATCATGCATACAGATACAGTTGGAGAAGTCGTTGTTTCGTGAAGACAGCTTTATTTAATAATTATCATATGGAAGTTGCTTTTGTAGTAGGAGTAAATATTAAATAAATAAAATTTCAATATTATAAAATAATTGGGCCATAACTAGGGGTGGTAAACGAGCCGAGCCGGCTCGTGAGCTCGACGAACCGGCTCGTAAAAAGCTCGAACTCGGACTCGAGGTTTTCGAGCTCGAGCTCGAGCTCGCGAGCTCGAGCTTTCTGACGAGCCGAGCTCGAGCCCGATTTTAGTTGTTCATCAGCTCGCGAGCCGGATTTATTAATATTTTTTTATTTTTTTTATTTCTTTTATTTTTTTTATTTTTTATATGTTATTTTTATTTAAAAATGTATAATAATATAAAATATTATAGAAATAAATACAAATATTAAAAAAATATATAATCACAATTTTGTGTTTATTTTGTAATTTTTTAAAATATTTTTTAATAATAAAATAATAAAAAAATAATATTTAAAAAAAGGAAAAAAAAAAAAAAAAAAAAGGGATTGGGCTCGAGCTCGAGCTCGACAAGATTAACACGAGCTCGAGCTCGAGCCAGAAAAAGAAGAACTCGACGAGCTCGAGCTCGAGCTCGAGCTCGACAAAATAAACTCGAGCTCGAGCTCGAGCCAGCCAAAAGAGGCGAGCTCGGCTCGTTCACACCCCTAGCCATAACCATAAGGATGGAGTTACAAGAGCTGACTAAATTGGGCCAAAAGTACTACCAATAGGCACATAGTTATACCTTAATTATGGGCCTAGCAACGGAAATTGGGCCAATATTACTATTATGGGCCCATAGAATTATCGGCCTAGCACTAGAAATTGGGACTAAAATTACTAGTAAACCTCAATTCTTGGCCTAGCACCGGAAATTGGGCCAAAATTACTTCTAATGGGCCTATAGTTCTCCCTTAGTTATAAACCTAGCATTGGAAATTGGGCCAAAATTACTAGTAATGGGCCCATAGTTCTACCTTAATCATGGGCCTACCACCGGAAATTGGACCATAATTACTATTAATCGGCCCATAGTTCTCGTTTAAGTATGTCCGGAAATTGAGCAAAAATTACAACTAATGGGCCCATAATTATACATTAATTATGGGCCTAGCATCGGAAATTAGGCCAAAATTAATACTAATGGGCCTTTAGTTCTCTTTATTATGGGCCTAGCACTGGAAATTGGGCCAAAATTAAGTTGTTTTTGTGTAATCTGCGAAAAGATTATTAGTAGCGGTGAAAAATGGAGTAGGTTTAGAAGAATTACTATGACGGAATTGTTACTGTAGGATCATGCTGCTGTATGATGATGACCTGAGCCAAACCAGTAAAAATTAAAGGTGGACTCTTTGGGGCTGATTTGGTATTAATTGCAAAGAGAAAAACGACGTCGTTTAGTGCTCCACCAGGATTGGTTGACAAATAGAAGAAGATCGTACATTTCATCATTATAAAAATATAAAATGCTCCAAAATAGTAAAACTGCACAAATAAATGTACCCACTCCTATTTTTCCGCATCATATTTAGGCTGTGTTTGATAGGATAAGCACTGAATGCTGAATATATATCTGAATAGCTAAGAGTTGTGTCTGAATACTGAATATTCAACTATTAAGCTTGTTTGTTAGCTGATGATATGTAATGTCTCAATAATGTGATTTTACTTTTATAACCTTGATGAAAGGCTAAAATATTTTGTTAATTAAATTAGGTGCCACATATATGTATATTTTTTTTATTTTTTTTTTGCATGATTAACTTAATGACTAAACTATAAAAATTTAGTGGACATCGAACAAGTGTATTAAATTTCAAGTATTTAACATAATTATAATACAATTTGAAAATGCTGAACAAATAAAAAAAATAAAGTAACGTTCTAAAATAAAATAGCTAGAAGTAACAAAATAGTTTGAAGGTTTGAAATTTTGAAATAATTTAGAGATTTTTGGTTGAAGAAGAAAATTTACAGTCCAAGTGGAATAAAAACGAGGGTGATTGCTTGGAATATATGAGTATTTTTTTTAAGGATATATATGTCCAAATATCATTCAGATCATGGGCTTATTCGATCAGCACCAATTTTTGAATTGAATGGTTAAGAGCCATTTGGACTCGTTCATAAATCATCACCAAACACCCTGAATCATTAAGCTGCTTACCGAATCAGAAATTTGCCCATTAAGCGGCTCAATAAGTGCAATAAAACGGAGCCTTATTCTTCCAAATTTATTTCTTCAAAGACCTGTAAAAATTATACCCGACTCCATGCTCCATGGAAATTCCGAATATCCAGCTACTTTTTTTTTCATTCGATTTTTAATAATAACTTAAATTAGATACAATTAATTTATTTTGATATTTGAAGGAAAATTGAAATAATAATCAATTTCTAAATATATAGGATATCGTAGTCGATTACTGTTTTTTTTTTCTTCTCAATATTACTTTAATTTGTAGTCATAAGTTAGAAAATAAACTGCGATGGCATACAGCAAGTGGACGAGAAAAGGGAAATAGTAAAAAAATATGATAAGTGGCATAGGGTACAACAGTTTATAATTAATGTGCTACATCGCGTAATTAAGTTTTACCATTCATTAGTACAGAAAATATCTCGTTGGAGAAACCTTAAACTTATTTATGCCATAAATGATATTTTTTGGTCTTAAATGTGATCTATTTATTTGCAAAGAAAGCAGTAAAAAGAAACATGTTGCACTAATTTCACATAGGACGTTCGTACATAGTTTACATTTAAGTAAATATTATGATGCGTAGTAGGGTAGATGTAGATGCAAATCGCTTCGAGATAAAGTTGCCCTTAATTATTTAATTAGAGGGTAACCTCCGTGCTCCTGTGCCATTCTCCCTGTGACAGTTATAGTATGTTGCTGCTACAGGTGAATCAAGGTTATATTGCTGAGAAAACTCTCTCATATTAAAGTTCTGGCGATGCTCTGGAGCAACCACAATTTGTCGGGATTGTTGCTTAAACAACACAAAAACAAAGCTGTGTATTCCCAACACTGGTTGAGGGACCTCATAAGTCATTATTTCATTTCCTGAATAATTAAATAATTAATCATAATGGTGCATTATAATATTCATGATACACTAATAAGAAAATATATATTTCTTGTACATTTAAAATTAAAGTCACGATGGAACGATATAGTATGTTGTAAAATTGCTCACCGAAACTTGTGTCAGTGGTTCCAGGTATGTCTGTCACAATCCTGTATTTGATTTAATTTTCAAACAAATTCAATAAATTAACCATATATATATATATATATATATATATATATATATATATATATATATATTGCATATAACTTAGAACGTAACTTGCAAAAATAATGCTTGGAATTAAAGATATAGCTTGAATTTTCTTTTTTTTTCTTTTTTTCTTTTTTTTTTATTATCCGATTATCGAATTGAAAGTAGAATGAAAAACTGAAAGCAAAAAATCTTGAAAACTAAATAAAACTTCCAAGATATATTAATACATACCAGTGCAAGTACTCCTTGTGGATTGGATTGGTTGGACTTGGAGCATCGGGATCAACCAAAACCTGACATATATGTATAAATATATATTAATAATTATTTGGAACTTGATACATCGAT